GTCCCCCACTGTGATTGTTATAGTGGTAGTTCACTGTGGGAACCCTAACCGGAAGCCAGCCTGCTACTTCTCTGAGCCCCGGGCTCAGTTGGCCTCTCCCTAGAGTGGTGCCGAAGTGTGCATTCCAGGGGACACTGCAGTTGCTTGGAGTCACTCAACACCTGTTGTAGTGTACAGTGTTCCCTGCTCACTGCTTTCATGTCTCTTTAGACTTGATTGCCCTTTCTGCCTTCCTTCTTCTGTAGTGTAGTTTGTCTCTTGTTTCTCTTTAGGCTCCAGTTTTTCTTTAGGTCCTTCCTGGGTTCCAGCAGTCCACTGGTCTCCTTTCCTTCCCAGGTTGTTATTTTCCAGTGTCGCATTTCAAATCTTGGAGAGGCTGATTTGTTGCTGCTTAATGCTCCCATCTTCTTGGAGGTCCTCACTGACCATTCTTACCATTTTTCTTTTTGAGTTGGTTGCTATTTTGTTATTGGAAACCATTGCTGTGAATGTGTTGTCTTTTGGAGGAACCACGTCACTGTGTATGTATATATTTGTTGTTGTTGTTTTGTTTCTTATGTTTTTGCATTGAGATCTGTGCATCTCTTGGGTGGGTGTGTCCTCTTACGGCAAGACCTTCATGGAGACTTGTCTTCTCTTGATGCTGTGTCCTGCACTATTGGTATGTTGAGAGGCGTTTTAACTAACTCTGTCTGGACTTAGTAGTATAGTTGTCCTGTGGCTTCTCTTTCTGTGACAGGGCTTGATAATATGTGTGCTGTGGGACTGGCTCTTTCTGTGTGGCCTGCAGGGTGGGGGTCCCTCTGCTAATCATGCAGAAGTAGAAGTGGATATTCTATCAAAATGTAGTATAGGAAAAAAGGCTTAAAAAGAATATTGAAAAATATGGAAAAGTAATTAATAGTAAACAATAGATTGATGCATAATTAGTATGGAAAGGCTGGACAAATAGCTCAGCAGATTGAAGCACCTGCAAGCAGGCACAGGGGCCAGGAGTTCAATCCCCAGGCCTACTGTGGCGGCCCCACCCCCGGGGCGCGCTGAGACAGTGATTGAGACTGGGCGTGGTGGCACACACTTGTAATCTCAGCATTGGGAGGCTGCAAACAGGAAAATCACTATGGTCCGATCTAAAGGTGAGACTCTGAACACACTGTAGACCCTTCTCTAAAATACAGAAAAAAAAAAATCAGTATGGAAATTTAGTAACAGTCTTGTCAGAAATACCACAATTGGATTGATACCAATGAGCTAAGAAGAAAATCAAAATATTATAGAATAAGTCTAACAAGTCATGAATTAATGAAAGTAAAATGGATCATGGTAACAGTAAAATGAAGATAGTAGAAAAGAGAAAGGGTCCTTTGAAGGTATGATACAAAAGAATCTGAGGGAAGATTTTAGTTTGGTTTGAAACAAGGTGTCACTATGCAATTCAGGCTGACTTTGAACGTGCTTATACATAAGCAGGCTGACCTCAAACTCACAGGGATCCTTCTGCCTCAGCCTCTCAAGTACTGGGATCACAGGCATGTGCCAGTATACCTCGCAGAAATTTAAAAGATATGAAGTAAAAATAGGGCTGGGGAGATAGCTCAGTAAAACAAGCGCCTGCCTGGCAAGGTCAGGGTCCTGAGTTGAATCCCAGTACCACAAAAAAATAAAAATAAAAATAGAGTATGTAACTGAAAAGCAGGAAAGAGAAGTGGGGAAGAACAATGAAAAGATTCCTTGTAGCTGAAGTGCCAGGTCGGAGGGCTTCCTTCTGCCTGTGTCCTTGTGCTGCAGGCGTTCTGTGTGCCCAGGGAGAAGTGATGTCCACCTGCGAACTACTGAGAGTGCTAGTTCCCCTGTCCACACAGGGCCAGTTCTACGCAGTGTGTGGGCCTCATCCTTCTCCAGGGTAGAGGTAGTGAGTGTCCCTGTGGGAGTCTCTTCTCCTGCCAATCTGTGCCTTACATGGGCTGTTCAGGAGGGGCTCAGTCTCCGGTCCGAGGCCTCACAGTGTGCCTACGTGGAAGGGTGTGTCAGACATCCAAGTTGTCTCACGGCTAAAGCCTTGGTGTTGTGTGTGCTGTGCCAGGGAAGTAATGTATCCAAGAGCAGGGTGGAGATTGAAGCAATTGCCTGTACCCAGGATGCCTCAGTGTGTAGGGAGGAGCAGTTAGGCCACCAGCTTCTGGGCTGGGTGGGAGAAATGTGATTTGCCACTCTCCTCAGCAGACTGTGTCAGAATCTTTCTCCAGTCACTACTGATTTGTGCACCACCAACTTGGTAGGAAGTCAAGGGATCCCAGCTGCTGACTGTCCCTCGCCTTTTGCTTTCCAGAGCAGCTCCATCTCAGCAACAGGGCCCCTCCTATTGATGACCCTTGCAGTCTGAGAGACTGCCTCACACTGTATGGACTGTTTTCTGTAGGGCTGGCTTGCCGTGCAGGGTGACACCCAGACCAAACCCCTGAGCTGATCCCAAGCGACTGTGAGGTGTGGCTTTCTCCTGAGGCAGACTGTGGGTGTGCATGCACTGACCAGCAGCATCCCTTGCCTTCTGCACAGCTTGCAGAGTCTGGCTCCCACCTGTGCCTGGGGGCCACTGCTGCGTACCACTTTTTTCTGTGTTGTCCCCGATTCTGTGTGCTGTGTAGATTTCTTGACACTTCTTTGTTGGCTTTTGGAGTTTTTCTCCTCCTTTCCCTCTCAGAATAGAATCCCTCTTTTGTTGCCCTGAATCTCTTGCTTCAGTCATACAGAAGCTACCTCTGTTTCTCCTCTTCCTGGGCATGCTCCTCAGTAATAACATTGACTCCAGCCACTTGACTTAAGATAGTGTCTGGGGCTGGGGAGATAGCTCAGTGGCATAAGTGCCTACCTAATAAGCACAGGGTCCTGAGTTCAATCCCAGGTACTGGGAAAAAAAAAAAGATAATGGCTGTCAGGCTTTTCCACTGTGCACAGCTTTTGTAATTATTAAGTGGGAAGAGATTATAAATGTATTTAAGTAATGCTTTTCTCATCCACTGATGCGTTTAACTCATTTACATATAAATGTATTCATGGTTTCCTAATGGATTCAACAGGTTGTATACAACTTTGATGCTCAAATTGTACCTTGCTTAGTGAGCTTCTTGTCCTTTTGATATGTCTATGACTTTTTTTTTTTTTTTTTGTATTTTAGGGAAGGGTCTACAGGGTGTTCAGGGTCTCACTACTAGACTGGACTCATAATGATCTGCCTGTTTACAGCCTCCCAAATGCTGGGATTATAGGTGCACGCCACCACACCTGTTCTCAATTGCTGTCTCAGTGTACCCTGGAGGCAGGGCCGGCACAGCAGACCCGGGATTGAACCCCCAGTCCCTGTGCCTACTTGCAGGTACTTTAATCTGCTGAGCAATTTGGATGACCCATGTCTGTGACATTAAGCACTTCCTTTGGTACTCAGCATGAACTGTATGTCTTTTTTAGTTTAGTTTTATTTTTCGTGGTACTGGTGCTCAAACTCAGGACCTTGTGCTTGCCAGGCAGGGGTTTGTGCCCCTGAGCCATATCCCTGGCTGGATCTGTAATTCCATACTGTCTACGCTCCAAGCCTAGAATTAGCCATTTTCCAAGAAGGACTGGTGTCTTTAAATGAGAAGGTATTTACAGGACAAAGCCCAGGTAATAAATGTCTCTTTGCTGTTGGGGTCACTGTGCCCTAGCCTTCATTGATTAGAATCAGGGAATGTGTATGTGTGTTCTTTGTATAGCTGACGTAAGATTTGTTGTTCCTGAGAATCATCATACTTCTTTTCACATTGGAACCTACTATAAAAGTGTTATCAGGTTGAGTCACTGCTGATCATAGTAGAGAAGTGATTCATGTCCTCTGGCGACGCCCACTGAGGAACTGCCTCAGATCCTGTTCCTCCCCAGCATGCTCTGCAGCGAGCAGGCACAGCTCTGTCAGGCACAAGTCCAGGTAATCACCAGCAGTGTGCTTACTTCCGGCCTAGAGCCACTGAGTGGGGGTCCACACGAGCAGGTTGACGGGGTTCTGTCTGCTGGGTGTGGACAGGTGTCGGGCATCGCTGAGTTAGAGTGTGGATGTGTCCTCACACAGTGTAGTCTCTGGAGTCAGCTCAGTGCATGATGAGTGCAGTGCAGGGGAGAGGAGAGAAGGGGCGATGGGTGCTGTTCCACACAGAAGGGGCTGACCATTGTGTGAGAAAGAATGGGTAACAAGGCTCAGGTGTGCCGAGCAGGAAAGGAGTCCCAAGTGTGCAAGAGAAACCTGGAGTGACTCCTGTATTCTGAGGTGACACCAAAGTACTACTGTGAACATAACCTATGTAGACATAGAAATAAACACAAAGTGTAAATATGTGTAAAGGATTACATGTTTTTTAAACATTGGATTTGGTTCTTCTAAAAACTGACTTTCCATCCTGTGTAATATACAAGAAGAAAGGCCAGCCAGATAGCTCAGCAGACTAAGCAGGCACAGGGACTGGGTTCAATCCCCAGCATGCTGTGCTGCCCCCCACCCCCGGGTGTGCTGAAATGGCAACTGAGACTGGGCATGGTGGCACACACCTATAATCCCAGCTCTTGGAAGGCTGAAAACAGGAGGATCACTAGAGTCTGATCTGTGTAGTGAGACCTTTTTGCCCCTGTACTAAATACTATATATGTTGGGTTGTTGGGGATATTGCACTGTTTTAATGCTACTTCTTATAGAGAATTACCAGTGTTGTGCTTTTCTTGGCCAACTAGAGAAGGTGTGTTGGCCAGCTAGTTCTGTGCAGGATCCCAGAGGACGCACTATGCTCCTTCGACATGTGACTAGAGTGTGTTTCTAGCTGAGGCACACTTGAAGTTGGTATTCTGGGAGGTGATCGCCAACATTGAGTAGAAGGGCAGTGAACAGTGACACTGGGACAGGCATGGGTGTTTACAGGTCTACTGGTCCTGGTATCCAAGTTTCTTTTTATTTATTTATTTTCATTTACTTCATTTAGGAGAGGTTTATACATGGGGTGACAACGATGAGGGACAGCTAGGAGATGGAACAACAAATGCCATTCAGAGACCTCGCTTGGTAGCTGCTCTTCAGGGTAAGAAAGTCAACCGCGTGGCCTGTGGTTCAGCACATACACTTGCCTGGTCGACCAGCAAGCCTGCCAGTGCTGGCAAGCTCCCTGCACAGGTGAGTCCTGGTGGAGTGGGTGGTGAGGAAGGAGCTAGCGCTGTGCGTGGCGTGCACATGCTGTGCACATGCTGCTCAGACTTGTAGCATAGCGTTGTGCTTTAACGCTCTAATGTTCGTGCTAGCAACATCATGTGTGTCTGTGTGTCACTTTTTCTCCCATATCTCATAAGCTGTATAAATTTATTTTGTACATGTCTCACATGTTTTGAGTTTTTGTTTTTCCTGGTAGTAGAGATTTAATCCAGGACTTCTGTGCCACGCTACATTACCTGCCCTTTTTTATTGTAAGGCAGGGTCACACAGGTCACTAAATTTCCAAGGGAGACTCAAACTTGTGATCCTGTGCCTCAGCCTCTTAACAGTGCTGAGATTGCCGGTATATGCCACCATGCCTGTCTTACATGTTTCTTTTTAAAAACTGGCTTTTCTGGGTTTTTGAGATGTAAGTTGACATAGCATAGTTTAAATGTTTCAGGTCCCCATGGAGTATAATCATTTGCAAGAAATCCCTATCATTGCCCTGCGGAACCGACTGCTGCTGCTGCATCACATCTCAGAGCTCTTCTGCCCCTGCATCCCTATGTTTGACCTGGAGGGCTCTCTCGACGAAACTGGACTTGGGCCTTCTGTTGGGTTTGACACTCTTCGGGGGATTCTCATATCCCAGGGAAAGGTATTTTTGGTAGAAGTCTTTACATAGGTGACACTGATGTCTTCAGTAAATTTTAACCCAACAAAAATGCCAATCCTAAAATGTAGACTCTAGAAGCCATCTCTCAGCAAATATTCATTGAGTACTGACTGTGCCAACCTGTTCTGAGTACTTAGAATATATATATGAAAAATCAGACAAGCATCTCTTTCTTTTTGGAGTTTATATTAAAAATTAATAGTACAGTGCTACTTTCTTCCCTGATACTGTTTGTCCCACCACCCTGAAAGGACAGATGGAGCCTTTACTCATCAGTAGTTCTCTGCCCACCTGCCATCCAGGCTTCGTGGCAAATCCCACACTGACTCTGGTGTTTTCTTCTCCAGGACGTCCAGCAGAGGGTACTGAGAGTTTCAGGTGGCTTAGACAGAAACCCTGCCAGAGTGTGAGCTAGCATCCTTGCCCAGTGATAATTATAACCAAGGGCAAGGGGAGAATTAGAGGAGTCACAGGCAGGTTTTTAGATCTTTTTAGAAATAGAATCCTGATTCAGAAGTCACAGGGGTCCCCAAAATTGGAAGTCTTCAGGTTCTTTTTCAAGCTGTCTATAGCAACTTGATGAAATGATTTATAGCAGAGGGATCTTTGTGTAGGAGAAAAAGTATAGAAGGTGAATTGAGGATCTCTCTAATCCTGAAGAGTCTGTGATTCTATGATATATTTTGTTGTCAAAGAGGAGGATCTATTCTTTTTTTTATATTTATTTTTTTATTGAGAAATAAATATGAATGAGACAGTTTCACAGCTAATTAATGGGACAGTTTTGATAGTCAATACACTGTACATTGTTATCTTCTTAGTGGTTATCCATAGTACAAGAAGCAGACAGGATATTCTGTCCAAACACTGTTAGTACACCTCTTTCTTCTCATTGAATTAACTGAAAGCTGTAAATTTATCCTAACTATTTT